GTCAGCCCTCCAACTTTGTTTTTCTCCTTTAATACCAGGTTGGCTATTCTGGGTCTTTTGCTTCTCCATATAAACTTTATTTACTTATTTTTTATATTTTGAATTTTTCAGAGACAGGTCTCGCTGTGGGATCCAGGCTGGAGTGCAGTACTGTGATCACAGCTCACTGCAGCCTGGAACTTCTGGGCTCAATCCCTCTCCCCAAGGTCTCTGGTTGGCCGGCTCCTTTCCAGCTTTTGGGCCTCAGTTAAATGCCACCTTCCTGGAGATCTGCCCTGGCCTCCGTGTCTACAGCAGTCTGCAGCCTGCCCTCCCTCCGCCTCATCACCCCACTTTGGTTTCTTCTCAACACTTACCCCTGACATGCTCTCACTGACCTGTGTGGCGTCTGTGTCATATGACACTGTGAGCTCCAGTGAGCGGAGACCTTACCTTCCTCTACTGATGCTACTCCTGCCTGTCCGCTGCCCCTAGGGTGACGCCTGTCTGTTCACACACGGCAGGAGCCCCAACAGGTGAGGGTGGTGGGAGCTGCAGAGACGTGGGGTGGCCTGGCCCCCGACACTCCCGAGGCCGGCTGTTCGATGCCCCCTTTGGTTCTGAAAGTTACCTGGGAACCTTAAAAATGGGCTGTGAAGAGGGAATTTTTGGGTTATATCGGCCAGACTTTTCTATTGGCTTGCAATGTAAGAGCCCCAACAAAACCATTATTCCAAATTACTTTGTTCAAAACCTTCATAAATATTTACAATAATTGCATCCTATGTCCTCAGGTGGAAGCACCACCATTTACGTAACCAATCCCCTGTGGCGGCTGTCTGGATTATCCTTTTTCTGCAGTATGAACAGTACTGCTATGAACATCGCTGTGTTCTAACCTTTTTCTGTATCCAGAATCATTTTGAAGGATGGCTTCTCAGAATTGCAATTGTAGGGTCAGCCATGGCGTGAACACTTTAAGGGGCTTGATGATAACTTTTGCAAACTTTCTGACCACGAAAATCGTCTAGCGGCCTGCTCACCACACCACGGCCCGCCCGGGCAGTCATTACTCGCGTCCGTGCCTCCGACACCAGGATCCACTCGCTGGTGCTCTGAAGCCTGCGTCCTCCCGACCGCAGCTGCCGCGCATCCCGGGCAAGACTTCGCGCGGATTTGTCCCTTCACTGCGCCCTGCGTGGCGAGGCTGTGCGCATTACTTCGTGTTTGTCACAGATCTTCCCCCTTTTTATTCATTTATTTTTTCAGTTCTATCATGGGACGTGTCTCCTCGCTCCTCCACCCTTGTGGGGCGCTGGCTTCCCTGGGCCGACCTGCTTCCGGCTCCCAGGGCACCGGAGCAGGGAGGGGTTCTGGTGAGAGGGGCCCCTCACGCCTGAAGTCCCGGCTCCCTCATCCGGTCCCTCCTCACAGCGCGACACTGACGGGTCGGATGGACGTGCCGGAGCAGCAGAAAAGGGAAAAAACAAAACCCCATCCTGAAGAGAAACGAAATAGGACCTGCAGAAAAAATGCTTTGAGGGTAAACCTAAGGGTTTTAAATAAAACATCGGAACCACTAAGGACCTAAGATACCACTGAGTTACCTGGTCCAACCTCCCTCCAATTAGACCCGAGGACATGGGTGAGCCCCAAACACAGGAGGGAGACCGGTTCTCCGGCGACGCTAGCTCTGTCCAGTATCTGCCATCACGTCACAGAAGCTACCCTGAGGCCTCGATCAAACCGGCGCCTGCCCCCAGCAACGCACAGTAAGCAGCTAAGGCACAAAAGGAAACCAGCGCCCCCAGACTCTCCCTGCCAGCAGACGCCCCGCAAAGTCAAATACACAGGCAGTTTCCGTACTAGCAAAATACTTTTATTATTTTTATAATGATAAAACAAGGAAAAGATTTTTTTTTTGGTGTATACCAGAGTTAAGGGCAGTAGAAGAATAAGGGGATTAATAGGATTTCTATGCACTTTCGATGACAATAAAAAGTTAGCAATACCAACCGTTTGCCATAAAACTTATCATAGCTCCCCCAAAACATATATATAAGATCATAGTTTAAAAATCTATAAAAGTAAAAAATATACAGTTGGAAGCTCTAACACTTATTCCGTCTTTAATATAAAATTGTAAACATTTATTTACACAAAGCAAATGTGTATAGTAAAAGTTCGAGCACCCTTTTCTTCTGAGTCGTGGCTCCTGGAAGACGGGGCTGTGCACAGAAGCAGAGTCATCTCCCCCCGACTCCCCAATTCATAAATAAAGCCATGGGCAGCTCCCGGGGGGACCCCAAGAATCACATTTTATTGCTATGACATTGCAGCAAGTGAGGAGCCCCAGGCTGTGTGGCCGGCCCAGGACTAAGGCAGAGCGCGGGGCCGGGCCACAGCCGGAGGGAGATAGGAGAGGAAAAGGATCCATAACCAGCTGTCGGCCCTATTTTTGGCAGAAAACCCGCTGAAGTCACCCCCTTCCCCTTCAGACTGGGGAACTCACTCAGAGGGTGGAGTCTTCACTGGCTTTATGATTCGTCTCCTTTCAGAGCTAAACTAAGCATCTGGGGAAGGCAGGGAGGGTGTTTTAGGGGAAATGGCCCATGCACCACCAAGGGTGGCAAATGGCTATTAGAGAAGAAGATCTGAGGGTCTAAGTAACCTCAGTGAGAAAGGCACTGCTGGTGCAAAATAATTACCAATGCATGTACAACCCTCTCAGCCCCTCAAAGCGACTTAGGCTAGTCGCGTGAATACTTTCCTTGGCTCAATTTACGTGTGATGCTCCTTGAATGATCCGTTTTGAGACCGAATGAAAATTAAAGTGGGGCTGTGGTTTCTCAGCACCGCTCTGCACAGAAGCCACCCTCAGCGTGCTCCTTTCTCTCCACCGTCCTGGGAAGCTCTCGCCCTGCGCTCGCCGCTGTGCTTTCGTTACGGGAAGTGCCCTCTCCATCTTCCCTGTTCGCGAACAGCCCACACGCCGCACTCTATCTTGCGGACTCTCAGTTTAGTCAAGGCCACCTGAACCTTCGGGAAGGACGTGTTAGTGTTATAAAGCAATCTCTTTAAAAAGTGCAAGTCGTCCAACGTGGCGGTGGCAGAGGTCGTTAGAAAAGTGGGGCTCCTTCCTGGGGCCAGCCTGCCGCCTCCTTCCCCAAAACCTGCGCAATGCTAAGGTTCTCCCAGGGATTCCAGTGACTCTTTCTCTCCCCTCCAGTGCAGTAGATCATTGCTTTCCGCTTTGGCTGGAGAGAGAAAGAGGAGGCAGAGAGAAAGATCATGGGAACTGAAGGCAGGTAAGGAAAGACACCTGTGACAGCCACACCGTCACCCGCTCCCACTGCGTCCACCGTGAGTGCTCACGGCAACCTCGAAGGTGGGGCAGCATGACGGAGGACACAGGAACCCCAAACCTCTACCTGCAGCGTTTGTCTGGCTCGTGCTGCCAGCGCATGGCAGGAAGGGATTCCTGGGGGCCTGGGAAGGAGGAGGGGCTGCTAGGAAGACCCTGTCTGTGTCACCAGGTCGGCCGTCCCACGGCATCCTGCTCCTTGGCGTGCGCAGTCACAGCCTGCACTTACGGAAATGGTTTTCCAACGGCCGCCTCCTCGCTTGCGAGGGACCAAGAGCAGACACAAGAAAGGCTCTTCATCAAAAGGAAAGCCTCGGTCTCCAATGCCACTTGATCGACTTAAACCACCACCTATCCTAATCCGTTTAAAAACCTTCTAAAAATTTTTAAAAAATCTTTTCTATGCTACAAATTGCAAAAAATTCTGCTATATAAAGTTTCAACAAAAACTTGTCCCCAACATTGGGGAAAGTGGAGAAATCTTGGATAAAGTCGACATGGCGGCACAGGGTTTCGCAAGCCTGACACTGTGGGGTTTCGCTGTGGTCACTGTTGGTTTTTGGTCATTTGGATACAGAACCACCTTTAGAATCCTGTCCTACTGTCCCAATACCAGGTAATGACGCCAGCAGCTGGGCGGGGCCAGCCCAGCGGACCACAGCTGCCAGCCGGGGAGCCACATGCCCACGGGCCCTGACCAGGCCAGGCCTCAGCCAGGGCTTGGGCGCTACCTGTCCAGCTCCCTGGGCCACAGGCTTTTGGTCCAAAGTAGTTGCTCTTTCTTGAATCTGAGAACAAAAATACAGGACGTATGATCACTAAAACCACCGCAAACCCCTCCACTACTGAGACCCTAGAAGGTCGTCCAGATCACTCATCCACTCCTCCGAAGTCCTGTTCTTCAGCAGGGAGTCAATCAGATCGGTGTGCCCTGCCACGCTGGACAGCCCGCTGCTGCCCGGCTGCCCGCTGTAGGCGAAGGGCAGCTCCTGGCCCGCGGTCCGCACGGGGTAGGCCTGGGCGCAGTGCAGCCCCACCCGGCCGCCCATCTGTGAGGCTGGGCTCAGGCCAGGCAAGCCCTGCTGCGCGGCCGCCGGCGGCGGTGCTGGGGCAGGGGCGCTGGTCCTCTGCTGCGCGCCCACCGGGGGCAGCAAGGACCCGGCCGCGGCCGCCGAGCCCATGGGGGCCATGGGCCTGCTGGGCATCGCCTGCGAGAACTGCGGGCTGGACGTTCTCAGGTGGGCCTGCTGCAGGTGGAAACTGGAGGCCGCGGTGAAGGGGCTCACGCTGCTGCTCCCTGCGGTCTGGCCACTCAGGTTCGGCATTCCCTGATGTTGCCATGAAGGATTCTGGCCTCCAATGGCTGCCGACACCCTTGGGACCTGTGGCTTCGTTAAGCCAGAGTTGAGGGTCCCCTTATTGTGCTGCTGGGAGAGGCCAGAGCTCCCCAGAGAGTTCTGCCCGTAGGGAGCTGAACCCGAGGTGTTCTGGCCCACGCCGGTCTGCCGCGGAACGTGGGCATGTCCGTTGGCGGCCTGTGGGGGGGGCGGGGCAACCATCTGGGTTATGCCAGAGGCCAGGCCGTAGAGGCTGCTCTGAGGCACGCTTTGGGCACCGGCAAACTGGGCCGCACCCCGGTCCTGCTGGCCTGAGCTTGAGGGGAGAGAGGAAACCGAAGTGTGTCCAGGGCCCATTGGCATCAGATTCCCAGCCTGAGGGAACACTCGAGGACAGCTGGAGTTGGACGGACCCAAGTTGTTCATGCCAGGCATGGCAGCAGAGGACCCTAGAAGACAGACAAGGTTTTGGCAATCAAGCTGGCATTTCCTTTTTTTTTTGTTTTGTTACATATACATGTGTTTCTCCTTTAGAGACAGGGTCTTGCTCTGTTGCCCACGCTGAAGTACACTGGACTGATCACAGCTCACTGGAACCTCAAACTCCTGGGCTTGAGCGATCCTCCTGCCTCAGCTTCCAGAGTGGCTGGGACTACAGGTGTATGCCACCATGCCTGGATAATTTTAAAATTTTATTTGTAGAGATGGGGTCTTGCTATGTTGCCCAGGCCTCTAGGCGTCAAGTGATCCTCCCACCTTAGCCTCCCAAAGTGCTAGGATTACAGGCGTGAGCCACCACACCCAGCCACGCTGGCATTTCTTGACCCCCACTGTGGAGACATCTCTGAGACCCAAGTTACAGCCCCTATCCTACATGCAAAATCGTAACACCAGACATCTCGTGGTCAGTGGTACACTGTGAGGAAGAGAGCTCTGGGGGCTGGAGGGGTAGAAAATCTCCCCCAGGGTGGAATGGAGGCCAGGTCTAGAACAACAACAGGGTTTGGAAAGGCACAGCAGAGGGAAAGCCAGTGGACTGGTTCATTCGATTTTCAAACACACATGAAATTTCTGCTGTATGGGGGCCCTAAGCTAGGCACTGGGGACTTCGAGATGGATCCAACCCAAGATCTGCCCTGAAGAGGCAAAGTCACCGCATGGCATGACAGGGTCACAGCCGGGGCAGCAGGGTGTGGGAACACGGGCCCGAAGCCTCAGTGTCCGGGAAAGGTGCGGTGCAGGCTTCAGAGAGACGGTAACAGATATGCTGGGTTTCAAGAGCACAGAAGTTTAGCAATTTCACAGTTTGGAGAAAAAGTGCATTCTAGGCAGAGAAAAGAATGTGCAAAGACAGAATTACGAAAGGCAGCGTGTGCGCAGAACTTTAAGAGGCTGGCCATGGCTGGGCTGTGGAGACGGGGGCCGGCTGTTTAGAGACAAAACGGAAAAGCCAGTCCAGGCCCGCCGGGGAAGAGCTGTGGACGGCACGTGAGGAGCAGGGCCACAAAGCCCGCACTGATGGGCCTGGGACCGCAGTTCAGAGCCCGCTGGGAGAGGCAGCCCTGATCCCAGACGCGGGAGTGACGCTGTGCGGCACGGTGGGGACGGAGGACCCAGACTGTGGAGACGTTTCTGAGAGCTGTTTATCCCCAAATGACGAGACGGTCAAGAGAGGAAGGAGCTGGCATGCGATCAGCAGATGATTTCTGAGCACCTGCTGGGAGACAGCACGGGACAGACAGGGCCCCTGTGCTCAGGGAACCCGCTGCCCAGGGCTCCTGGCATACACGACAGACACACGGCAAACCTGTTAACCGAGACAGGTTTCTGTGGGTAGGAGCGTCCCTGGGCCATACAGGAAGTGGTTTCTGTAATTCTAAAGAAGTTCTTTGCTTCTGCCTTTATGTGTCTTCAAAAAATGACCCTCTCCTATTTTCCAGATAAAGAGGGATTATTCAGGGATTGGCCCTAACTTAGTACTTTGTTCTTCCTCTTCCTCTTTCCATTAGCACCTAAATAAAAACCGGGTTGAAGGAAAGAGGAGAGCTGAAACAGTCTATCTCACTCCCACTGATAGCCCACACCGTGTTAGACGGGACTGAAGGCAGGAGACCCGGGCCAAGCCCAGGCTTCTCAGACGCCTGAAGACTTCAACTCCGTGGTCCGGTTAGCACACACGTGGCCCCCTCTACTCTCCTCCAGGACACACGGCGGTGGTCGGTGTCTCTGGGACACTTTGCAGTGAGAGTACTGACTAAGCAGAGAAGAGAGGTTCTGAGACACTCCGAGAGGGGCAGGAAGGCAGGTGCAGGCCAGATCTCGCTGCGTCTATCCTGTGAGATTTCTACGCATTTCTAGAGGGGCAGTCTGAGCCAGTTCCCCGGCACATCTCAGAGGTGACAGCTGAGACCACAGTGTACTTCCTGCCCTTTTCTGGCCAACCGTCCACTGCTGACGCCGCCATCTGTGACACCAAAGTGAGTCGGCGGGAGGGGACAAAAGCAGCAAAAGGCCACACAACCGCGTCAGGTCTCTCTTTACCTGGAAAACGGGAGAGGGTCATTTTCTGAAAACACACAAAGGCAGAGGCAAAGACCTTTCTTAAGAATTACAGAAGCCACTTCCTGTATGGCCAGAGACCCAGCAGGAGTACTTCCCGTGGTCTGCCTCTATGCCTCTTCCCCTGGGGCCGGGCTAGCTAGAAGGCCAGGCTCCTTAGACAGGCTGAAGTTAGTCCCCAGCGCACAGCGAGCAGAGAGCAGAACTCGACCAGCACCGCGCAGGGACCAACACCAGCTGTGACGCTCCACGCACGCCCCGCCGGGGGCCTGCCTCCCTGCTGCCGCCCCTCGCCCACACAGCCCCTTACCTGGGAACTGTCCGACCTGCTGCGGAAAGGTGCTCTGTGTTGGGTCTTGGTACTGGGGTGGTGGGCGGGTCAAATGGCGCTGAAACTGCTGCTTCTCCTAGAACACGCCAAGAATAAGAAAACAGCGAAACCCACGTAAAACAAAACCAGCAGAGTTAGGCCAGAGAAAAGTAAACTGTCCAAGTGTGTCACTCACAAATGGGCTCCTGTGGAAACAGTGCTAATGATTTTACTTTGGGGGTTTTTAATTAATAGTACGAAACAGACCTAAGCAGCAACGAATAAGAAAAAAGCCAGATCTATCAGTCTGAAAAAATGGAGGGCAGATTAGGCAAATGAAAATCAGAGCCATGATGAGACCCTACTTCACACGTACTAGGATGGCTAGAGTGAAAACTCGGACGCTGACAAGCACCGGGGAGGACGGGGAGGAGCCGGCGGACGGGGAGGAGCCGGCACCCTCCCGCACTGCTGGTGGGAACACAAACGGTGCAGCCGCTGCGGGGAGCACTCTGGCAGCTCCTCCAAAGGTCACACACGAGAGTTACCACATGACCCAGCAACTTCACTCCTAGGTATATGCCCAAGAGAAATGAAAACACGGCCACATGGAAACGTGTGTGTGAATGCTCACAGCAGCGCTATTCGTAACAGCGAAGAAGCAGAAACAACCAAACGTTCCTCAGTAGATGAACGAATAAAACGTAGCACGTCCGTGCAAGGGAACCCTATTCCGCTACAAGGAGGAATGAAGTACTGACGCGCAGCACGCGGCTGCGTCTCGAAAACATTCCCGGGCGACGTCTGCAGAGACAGGACGCAGACTAGCCGCTGCCTGGGCTGGGGAGCCTGGGGGCGGGAGGACGGCTGCCCGCAGGTTCGGGGCTTGTTTGCGGGCGACGGGAAGGTCATACGGTGGACGGTGGTGATGGCTGTGCAAGCCCGTGAATGTACCAAAACCACTGTCTACTTTAACTTCCTGGATCAACTTCACTCTCTGGAGCTAGTTCTTGTGTCTTAAGGTGTGATTTGACATCCTGTGAACTCACACTCGTCACCCTTCGTGCCTGCGCACTGCACCCGGTGACTGAGTGAGCTGCGTGTCCTGATTCTAGAGCCTTACGGACATCTTCACTCTTCATGTTCTGCCTGATGACAAACTGCATCTACAGCAAACCCGGGCCCCACAGCAGACGGATGGACAAGTGAGTTCGGTGGTTTGGAAGCTGCCAACCAGCAACGTGGGAAAATGCCCCTTACGTGAACAGTCCTAGCCACAGATTCTACCTTCATTAAACCCCACCAAGTGACACGAAGCAGCTAATGACACAGGCCACCTCTGTCTGAGAAATGCCACGCTCCTGGAAAGGAGTTTTGAAAGGGCGAAGCACTCTGACACCAGGCCTACAGAACCGGTGCAAATCTGCGTGCACAGGTGGAGCTGTGGCCGCCGCGGCGACTCGGGAGCGGGCGGAGGCAGGGAGTGGGCCCTTCTCCCGCCGTTCCTGTTACCTGTTCCGCCAGAAGGTGCTGCTGCCTTTGAAGGAACTGCTGTTGCTGCAGATGCTTTTGCTGCTGCTCCCTCTGTTTCTGTTGGTCCAAAAGCATCTGATGATGCTGCTTCATTACAGCCGCCTGCTGCTGGCTGCTGAGATAGGGGGAGCTGTTGTGAGAGCTGGCCACGGACACAGCAGGCGGCTGGGTCCCAACACCGGCGGCCTGGGCTGGTACAGGGACACTGGAAGGGTTCTGCTCCTGTCAACACAGGGGAGCCAGTGAAGTCTCCAAGCTCTGATCAGACCAGATATGCCCCACCCAGTGAGCCCCATCCAAGGCTTGCTCTGGAAGCCAAGCCTCTGCCGACTCCAACCACCACCGTCCCACAGGGCTGGGGCGCAGCCCGGAGCAGTGGCAGCTGAGCATGCAGGCACTTAGCAACGAACAGCCACTCCACACGTTAGCCTTGCTCACTGTGATTCAGCAGCGGCAAGAGTGTGGTTTTACATTAAACATATTCAAGCTCTCATACTTGCACAAGACAGTTCCAGTAAGCAACCGAGGCTCAGAAATACTCGATTATCAGAATGTCTGAATGCGGAGGGGACCCACAGAAGAACACTCTGAAGAGGGCTTCAGATGACAGAGACACATTCCACGTGCGTGAACCTTGGGTTGGGGCTATTCCTGAACTGCCTGAAACTGGATGTCTGTCCACTTGTGTGCAAGCATTTCACTGGGAAGAGACTGCTTAGCTTTGGTCAGATACCCACGCTCAAAAAATACAGAGTATCAGTGAGAACTAACAGGTGTTTTCTGTTAGCACATAAACTGGAAGTGAGAGTCATAGCCAAGGCTACCACGATATTATCCATCATAACTTACTTTTTTTTTTTTTTTTTTGAGACAGAGTCTCACTCTGTTGCCCTGGCTAGAGTGAGTGCCGTGGCATCAGCCTAGCTCACAGCAACCTCAAACTCCTGGGCTCAAGCGATCCTCCTGCCTCAGCCTCCCGAGTAGCTGGGACTACAGGCATGCGCCACCATGCCCGGCTAATTTTTTCTATGTATTTTTAGTTGTCCGATTAATTTCTTTCTATTTTTGGTAGAGACGGGGTCTCGCTCTTGCTCAGGCTGGTCTTGAACTCCTGAGCTCAAACAATCCGCCCGCCTCGGCCTCCCAGAGTGCTGGGATTACAGGCGTGAGCCACCGCGCCCGGCCCGTAACTTACATTTAAAAGAAAAGGGGGAAACTAAGCCCAGGAAGAAGGCAAAAAGCAATGAACATTTAAACAAGTTCAACTTTTTAAGCTCCTTTCCAGTTCTTATTCGTTTGTATATTTAATCTCAAGATTCTAATCTAGATTCTGTCGTGTGATTTCATTCCAGTCACCAGAAGCTTAACGACTACCGAGAGAACGGCACGAAGCACTACCCGAATGGCATCTATCACTGTGTTGCTTTGCCTTTGCTAAGGTTGTGCTTCACGGCTGTGTGACATTTTAATGGCTGAAATAAGCAGAAGTATCAATATTTATACATCGATTCTACTAGATGCTTAAACTGCTTCCAGGTTTTGGCTATTAGAAATAATCATGCAATGAATATCTCTTGTATATAACTTTTTTGTTCTGGATTATTTCTTTAGACCAACTTGCAGGGGGCAGAAAATGTCAATATTTATGGGCATTTTTATGGCTTATGAAAAACACTTAGTGCCGACTACTTCCCAAAAGCAGTGTGCCCAGTTACATGCCCTCACCAATATAGGAGTGTGTCAATTTCCTCAAGATATTACCAGCATTGGGTTTTTAAATTTTTGATTTTTAAAATTTTAGGGTGTACTACAAATACACAAAGATACATACACAAAGGTATTCACTGCAGGTTTACGTACAGCAGTGAGAAACAGGAGACAACCTACAGGGCTCTTTCTCCCCTGCAGAGCCATGTGATTCTGCTTGGCTTGAGCACCATGACTGAATAACTAACTACAGGGTTTAGACATGCTTGGAAGCAGCACAGATCTAAAATGTACAAGCATACAAAAAAACGAAGGGATTTTGAACACAGAGATCTGAAAGGTGGCAAAAAAGCAAAACCTCTAAGAAGCACACTGAATGTGATCTTTACCTGTAAAAGCACAGCCACAAATGACTTAATTTAAATCCTATGGCATGAAAGAGACACTGGACTAAATGCAGGTGATTTTTCAAATGTTTATGCATTTAAAATAAATTATACTAGGGAATTTTACCCGATTTTTGTTTATTAAGAATCGACCCTGGTTCATTTTATAAATTTCCACTCCCAAAGGAGTCAAAGGACAGCAGCTGCTCCTCCTCCCTCTGTTCCCATGACTACTTTGGACCCGATTTACATCCAACTTAGCGAGAAACCTCACTAAAGTATCTGCAGCAGTGACAGAAAAGGAAGCCACATACTTACCTGGCCAGGTGGAACTAGTGATCGGAAGGGCATACTTCCTGGCTTTGGTTTCATCAGAAACAAGGGGTTTTGCTCATTGCCCAGATGGGACAGCTGCTGGGGAAGGTAAGCCACTAGGGCTGGCTTGCTCTGGCCAGACCCGGGGCTGCCTTGCCCACAGTCTGCTTTGTAATGAGAAAGGGGTTTTGTATTGCCATAGTCCAGCACTGACCCTGGGTTATTCACAGAGTTCTGATTCAAGTTACTTGGTGGCTGGTGACTCAGCAGGTTCACGTGGCTGGGCTGGAGGTAGGGTCCTCCAGGCCGAGGGGAACTCTTGTTCACACTAGGCATCATGAGCAGTTTGGAGTTAGCGAAGTCTTGCTTATAGCCAGGAGGGCTGGCAGGCTTCTCCATGGGGTAAGGGACATCTAAGGGACTATGGGAGGGCCCCGTCTGCTGCCATGTGGACATCTGGCTGGGGGCTGGTGCTGGGGCAGCCTGCTGCGGGTTCTGGAGCATCTGCTCGCGCTTCTGCTTGGCAGCAATCTGCTGGAGCTGGTGGGCAGAGGACAGCTCTGAGGCCCCTCCTGGACCCTGGGTAGGCAACACTACACTCGCGAGGGCTCTTTGCGTATTCTGGGCTTGGGCTGATGCCGGCATCAGGTTTGGACTGGTATTGTCTGCCCCAGGCTGAGCAGAGGTGTGGAACACTGTCTGAGAGCCTCCCAGGCTGGAAGAATCTGTGCTCACAGGGGCAGATGAAGGCCCCAAAAAGGTCTGTCCTGCAGACCCAGCCCTCACTTGTGGAGAGCCTAACCGTTCTTGCTCAAAGGCTGCTGGAGAGAACTCCGTCTTAATATTAACGTCCTGTGCCAAGGGGGTCTGTGTGGCAGAACCAGAAGGCTCTGGGTCCTTCTTCTCCTCAAAGTCCTCATTGAACAGGTCCTTCATGTCTTCATCGGGCACTGACCTGTTCAGCTCCTCGATGAGCTCCTTCCACTCCTGCTCGTTCAGGTTGAGGTCAGGCATGAGGTTGCTTTGCGACATGGAGCCTCCGGCCCCAGCAATCATGCAAGGCAGGTCATCGACAGGTTCCTGCTTCAGTTCTTTGCTCAGGCTCAGAGCGAATGACTCGCTGGGGTTGCTCCCTCCATTCAAGTGGAGGCTCGAGCCAGCCAGACATTTTTTGTTGACAGAGTCCAGCCCCAGAGAGTGCTTCCCACCGGACTGCAAGGCCTCTCCCCCAGGAGGCTTGTCGGGCTGCCCGCACGGGGAGGCTGGAGGCAGTCCATTGGAAGAGACGGCTCCTCCCAGAGGCGCCTCCCGGCGGGTCTTCTTATGCCCCGGGAAGAGTTCTCCATAGCCATTCTGTTGATCGCCATTCTGAGGGGAGGTGGCGCTGTCAAGATTCCTCTTCACCGGATCATGAAGATGCTGAAGAACAATGAAAAAGAGAGATGTAGGCACACTTCACGCAGGAGGCCTCCCTGCCTGCAACAGCGACGAAAGCCGGGGCCTGTGCGCTGCAGTGCTCCTGGGGGCTGCTCGCCCAGGCTCGCTCCCCTCTTCTGGGAACACGCCTCTACCCCCAACAACGCTGCCTCTCCCCAGTTCTCTACCGGGCAGAACCGACGTCTAGTTCAGCCGTGGGGAAGCGAGGGGTCAGTGCCTGGACCTCTGCAGTCCTCTCTTTCTGCAAGATACAGGCCTGATGCTGCGCACAGCCACCTCGCCTGAGGGTTTGCCCGAGAATGGAGCCAACGAAAAAGGGCCAGAGGATACACATGCATTTATGAGTATGTCACTGAGCCCTGGATCTACATGTACCTGAGACCAGCTACCCCCTAGACTGTCTACTTATGTCAATCAATAAATTCCTTCCTGTGTTAAGCCAGTTTAACTTGAGTTTCTGTGGCTGTCATCTGAAGGAGCCCTGACGAGTAAGGTTTCTCCCTCAGGTCTCGGTGGGTGCTGACCATAGCGCCATGCCTCCACCTGGCCACGCAGGCCAGTCTCCATGCCCTCCTCGGGCCTGCCTCTTCTCTCCAGGCCGGGCTGCTCCCTGCCATGTCGTGCAGGCGACGGCCTCTCAGCTCTTGTCCCACTTCCGGACCCGTCAACCCACTCCCCGGCTCCCAACCACCACCCTCACGGACCTGGCCACTGCTTACCAAGACCGTGCATGTGAACACAATGTTTGGTCTGGCACTGTGACTCTCTGCTTCCCATCTTCTCCCCAACTAGATGCCTTCGGCTAACCTTACTGAGAGTCCGCCCTGTGTCAGAGACCAGCGCCGTGGGGCACTTAAGGGCCAATAAGGTGGTTCCCGCTCTCATGGGCTCCCAGCCTAGGACACGGGACGTGACTACAGAACGAGAACAGTGTATTAGTCGGTACCTCAGAGTTCTGGGGCAGGGATTTCATGACGAGAACACGACAGAGGTAGGAGGGGAGGAGAGAGATGGTATCTTCCCACTGTTTCCCCAGCCTCCTGTTCAGCCTTCAGGGTTCAAATCCTCCACTGCCCAGAAGAGGTGCCTTTGCTCAGCCTCTAGACATGCACTGCTCCTTTCCTATGTTTGTCTGTGTTACATTTTTGCATCTCACCTCCCACCCCCAATATCATCCTTTCCTCCTAACACTAATCGTCTCCATGTGTTATTAAAAAACGTCCCAAATAACAGCTTTAATTATTATCTTTAAGGGATTTCTGAGGAGTCGGCACTCGGTGCTGTCCCTCCCATTGCAGAGAAGGGCTGCCCTGACCGCCACGCCCACCCCAGGAGCGGAGTGCACAAGTGTCCCAGCCTGGGGGTCTTGCCCAAGGCAACTCCGTGGGCACCAGCTCTCAGCAGCAGACTACCCACAGGACGCCAAAGCCCCAATTCTAATGCTCGCATTTGTTTCCCCGCTTAACTGTCAAAGCTGACTGCACAGTGCTCCACAAATCCTAGCCAAGTATTTCTTTAAATCCATATATGGGTGCCTAAGTTGCTCTGAAAAAACCTTAGGAATGCCTGACAAGAGCAACTGCAGGGCAGAGGTAAGTAACTCAATCCTAGGCCCCAATTCAAGAACAGGACTTCACTTTCATGTAGACTCTTCTGCTTCCTACTGCCACCTAGGGGGAAAGGGGATGGGAACCATGCAAAGAAACCCTTTATAAAAGCCATTGTTTGAAAAGTTTTCCTTTGGGGAAGGTAAAGTCCTAACTATTGAAGGTCAGAAAAAATAAAAATAAGCTGCTAACATTTCTTGGATTTTTGTCTTTTCTATTATTTCCTTTTGCTCCACAGTGCCAGGTCTGGGCTGTCTGCAAACCTGGGAGTTCAGCCTTCCACCTTCCTAAGGGGAAAGATGGAACCCATGGGGTGAAGACACTGGATGAGCCAGCTGGTCATCCCAGATTAGAAACAGAATCCTTCTCTGCCCTAACAATTATAAAAGCTACCACCCCTTCTTTCCATATCCACATGCAAACAGCTGCAGACAAGTTCCAAAGTAAGAACTCAATTTTGCAATACCAATTGCTTTTAGCCAAAGGAAGCACTGGGCCGTTTTCTCAACTACTCAAGAAATTTAACCGGAATGACGTAGGTAGGAATGGGAAGTGTGGAATGTGGTGGTCCTGGCAAGAGTTTTTAGCTCTGAGCATTTGCAGAGTGCCTGATGTGTGCAGGGCACTGCAGAGGAAGGCGAAAATGAGTAAGCCTTCGAGCCTAAGCTCCAATAGAGGCGGGAAAACAGCTTGAACAGATTAAAAGTTATGTGGCAGCAAACATGCAAGATGCTATAAAGCAATATAAGGCCGGCTGCTGTAAAGAAATACATGAAAAAATAAAAAAATAACAGACACATGAGCCTGTTCTCATCGCATCTGGTACTTCTGGGCACTCAGCTGGAGGCTCCTGCTGTAGATACGGAACGCTCTCCGCGCACGGGGCTCCAGGAAGACCCAGCCCTGGGAGAGAATGCAATCGGACGTTCAGTCTGTTGGAGAACAGCGTGTGCTCACCGAGCTCGCCTTCCAGCAAGGACACTGCAGCCTGACTCCCACTGGCCAGCGCCCGCTCCCTCCCGGGAGGCCTCCGCCTCCAGGTGCCGCCCCATCTTCTGCTCTGGGAAAGGCGGCAGGATGTCGAAGCTGCTCTGAATCAAACTGGAGCTAGTCACACCTGTGGACCGCTAAGCAGCATCCTGTCACCCCCACGCACTGAGCTGACAGGAGGGTCCTCGCCCAGTCTCCACTTCCTCCGTCTTCAACCACCCGCCACTGCAATCCCAGGGTGCTCTGTGGTCCAACTCACCTACGGATGACAGCGCCTACACTCTTCCACTCTGAGTTGGCAGATGTGGCTGCCAGAGACAGGTGTGGCTCTCTCATCAGCGCTTCTTATGCACAGGTAGTGACCCAGGACAGCCACCGCTGCTTCCTGCCCTTCCTCACTGGGAAACTTGCCTCTTCTGCCACCCTCCTGTTACCCAGGTGCCACACGTCGCCACCCCGGCAAGCCAGCACCTTGGTCTACCACGATACGGGTCACCTCGCTCTCCAAGCCGGGGAGGAGGCGATGCCGGGGAGGGCCGCGTTCCCGGAAGGTCGGCAGTGTTCTCCACGCTGTCACACGCAGGCCACATTTTCAGTCCTTCCTTTCCCACTCTCCCCTCCCTCCACCATCTGCCACTTAATGGTTCCTTCCATCTTTGAAGTTCTTTCCTCACATTTCTCTACAACATGCTCTTGCCCTCTCTTCTACTTTTCTGGTTGTTTCTTCTCAGTTTCCTTTGAGAAGTCTCCTGTTCTCCTGCCCTTGGATTAAATATCGAAGTCCTCTCCCCTTTTCACTCTGCGCTCTCTCCCTGAGATTTTCCACCCATTCCCACGTCCTCAAACCCCTGCGAGCAAACGGCTCAGAATAAACTCAGCTGCCCGGGATCAAACACCGATTCCCGCCCAGCCCAAGCTCCTGTCACCAGCCGCCACTGTACCCGCGCTGGGTCACGCGGCCTCCTTAGAGTGCCTGGGATGCGCCTGCTCATCCCTGTGCTCCTTTGCCCGGAAAGCTGCTTCCCTCTGATCCTTCCTGGGTGACGACGCATCGCGGAACTCAGGTGGCCGATCTCAGCCACTCACCATCACCAACTCCTCCCCACAGACTTCCTGTTGGTTCCCCCATCGGAGGCCCTCAGCTGAAGGATGAAGAGCAGAGACCCCAGCACTGAGGACAGGGCCTAGCACTCAGCGAGTGTTTCTGTATCTAACCCACCCACCTCTGCAGAGCTCCTGACTCCTGCCTGTCCACAGACTCACCTACACGCCTCTGCTTGAGTGTGCACAGATAATTCAGACGACATCTGTCCAAAGTTTACGCCAGCTTCTCCCCAGTCCTATCTTCCTTTCCTCTGCTCCTATCTCAGAGAATGACACTACTAGCCACCCAACCACACAAACCAGACACCAGACGGCTACCCGTCCTTCACTGCCCACACCCAATCAGCACCCAAGTCCCACAGAGTCCGCCCCCTCAGCATTTCTCGGACCCACCCACTTCCCTCCGTTCACCGACACTAATTTCTGTCACTTGAATCATTTAATTTAATTTTTTAGAGATGAGTCTTGCTCTGTTGCCGAGGCTGAAGCACAGTGGTGTGATCAGAGCTTACTGCAGCCTAGGACTCCCAGGCTTAGGCTCAAGTGATCCTCCCACCTCGGCCTCCTGAGTAGCTGGGACTAAAGTTGTGTACCACCTTCAGTCCCAGCTAATTTTTCCTGTTTTTCTTTTTCTGTCAGAGATGAGGCCTTACTATGTTGCCCAAGCTGGTCTTCAATTCTTGGCCTCAAGTGTTCCTCCCACCTGGGCCTCCCAAAATGCTGGGATTACAGGCGTGAGCCACCA